TCTCCCTCCCCGCCCCCCCTCCTCTGTCTCCTTTCTGCCACCCAACAATGATTAGTCACCCTCGCCATCACACACATCCGGGAGCAGTTGGAACGTTGCGGTTTCATTGCGGCTACATCGTCACGCGCCAAAACGATGTTTTCAAATGGGTGGTGGGCCGATGTTCCGTGGAAAGGCCGAGTGGTTGAGACAGTCGCGCATTGGTTGCGGTCCACTCGGATTGGGCAAATTCCTTAAATATGATGTACCTCTCGTGTCCTATTTGGTAGTGCTGGATGAGCTATAGTTGATACTGTCAAAGGTTTGAAATCCTCCCACTGTTCAGTGCCTCTCAAGCACTGCTAACAGGGGCCTTGCTTGGAAGCAAGCTGATGGCGGGTTCGTCTCCCGACACATGCCTGTACCAATTTACTGTCGTATCGCGACTCTAACTGATAGCTTATTAGGCTAGTGTGTGCACCGTTTGTAGGAGTGTGTATTTGTGTGTACGATTTCGCGTCCTATATGCATATTTATTAATACACAGTAAGTTAAAAAGATAATGCATATAAAGGTGATGAGCCGAAACTCCCCAGAATAGGAGTATTAGTTAAATAGAAGTCGGACGCAGTGTTAAATAGGTAGTGCCGATCCGTGCAATGGGTAGAAGTGCTTTTATACCCCAGGGGACAAAGATCGAAAGTTTAATGAGGATAGGGTGGTCAAAGTTTGAACCAGGGACAGGGGTATTGCGTCATAGTAACGCAATTGATCTTTTGCCTACTTTTAACAAAAAACCATTAATCATTATTTGATATATTTTACGAGAGTCGAAACGAATCGTAAAGAGATTGATTGTCCCACTGGCCAAGTGTGACTGTCCAGCTTACCTGCACGAGAGCTGTTTGCTATTACGCCGTATCCGCCAACTTTGTTACCGTGATAGTCGAGAAAGCACCTGTGCTCTGAGTGCATGTTCCGCCGTCACACCTCAGACTTTCTCAATTAGAGGGTCCTGCTGGAAATTACAGGCCATTCTTCCAAGAGTCAAGTTGCCACCCCCTCCCCCTCCCCTTCCTCCTCCCTCCGGCCACTTTCTATGCGCTAGGCACTGTCCCAAGAAGGAGAAGGTGCACTTTTCTGTTTGGTACCATGTTTGAGCTGGATCTCCTTAGTCAGTGCGTGTGTTCCTATTTCGGTTGTCACTGTTCGGTACTGTTGTGTGTACTGTCGCTATATTGCTGCATTGTTGAAGGCCCAGTTGACGAAGTCTTGTTGTGGTACCAGGTAGTAAAATATACAACTTGATGGACTGAAACATTCCTATTTCGATCTATCATTCTTATTTCGATCTTTTCCTGGAACTTTTTTTCTTTATAATAAATCCAAATTCCTTTAAGTCTCTCAGATTGTACGTCCGTTATTTCGGCAGGCCACTGATGGAGAACGGTATTCCAGTCCCAAAGATCCGTGATACCGAAGGATTACACGTGCAGAACGAATTCCATCGTTTCATTACTGAGTAAGTCTTGTTTGAAATTTTCTTTTTTTGAAGAAAAATGGAATTCATGGATGTCGAAGGCTTCAAGTACTTTTACTAGCACTCAGGCGGTACTAGAAAAAATTGGTAGATTATTGAAAAATTATGTGACTAAGATGATTACCGCATGATTGTAGCATGAAAGTAATATGAAGAACTTAAAAAAGAAGGCAAGAATAGAACGAACCATAGTTATAGAAATATTGTAATGCAAGATATAGAAATATTGGTGGTACAGGAAAAATAAATGGCAACGCGCACCAGACTAGCCGGTGCGATCATGCGTTTTGTGCAATTCAG